TAAGGGAGTCCAACACAGACTGGGTTGTCAAATGTGCATGATGGGAGCAATCTATTAATAAAGGGGTCAACAGTGCTGAAACGCTCTCCAGCTTCCTGCTAAGAAAGGGGTCTGAAGAACTAAAGGGGTGCTGGATATGCTTCTTCTCGCAGCTCACTGACTCAGCCCCAACCCAGTCCCTTTCTCTAACTGCCCAGCTAAAGGGATATCAGGGATGCCTAATCTTATAGCTCTATGTCTATGCCCTCCTTGTCCCTAGGCCAGACTCTTTCTGTGTGGAGGAAAGAACATGTGAATGTAGTAAGCCTCGGCAAGGTTGCCTGCATTTCTCATGTTCTGCAAGTGTAGGTATGCTGTTGGACAGCGTGGGGGGAATTAATCAAAACTGGAGCAGACAAAATCTCGAGCAGTTGCCCATTGCCCAATCAGCTTCTCTCTTCAGTTTGTTGAGTTAAGCTTTGAAAATGAAAGGTGGATGCTGATTGGTTGCCATGCACAGCTGCTCCAATTTTGATAAATTCCACTCCATATATATTGGATATACATAAATACATATTGCACAGCAGTGTGGTGTATCTGGAAAACTGACTAAGCACAGCAGTGCGCTGTGTACAATAAATACGCACCTTGGGACTACAGATGATATTTAGCTCCTTGCCGCCAACCCTTTAAAGGTAACTTAGCGTCTGGAAACAAGGGTGGGCTCCAGGTCATGTAATCTCGAATCATAGTGATCACATGATCAGGAGCCCGCCCCAAGCTTTTTGAAATAGTACTTTGAAGGATGTGATAGCTGATCCAATGTATGTGCCTTGGCAAAAATTACTTTATGGGCATCAGACATCCTATAGCAGCCAGGTCAACTTTAAAATCTGCCACTGGGGATTCGCAAGGACTGGAGGAAGGCAAAGCTGATCTTGTTGCCAATGGCAACCTATCAGGTTCCAGAAGTAATTTCTCCAGAGGACCTTAGAAAACAGAAGCACAGATCTGATTTGTTGTTATGGGCGATGAGAACAGTTTTTATTATTCCAGCCTATAGATGGCTGGAACATCTGGCCCAATGTATTCTTTATAAATAAAGACTTTTACTTGGTACCTACTGCAATTTTTCAATATGCGTGTTTTCAACCTTAAGGTGTTAAAACATTTTTTTATAATATGAGAAGCTAAACCACCCCCACCTAGGAAACAAAATCTATGAGAGAGAGAGAGAGAGAGAGAGAGAGAGAGAGAGAGAGAGAGAGAGAGAAACCGTCTTTGAGGCAATATCGATATAAAGATGAAATATGAATCATCTTGAGCCCTGCACCTTAAAGAGCCCTCCATCTCAAGGGACACTGAAGGTCCCGGGCAGAGAGATTACCTCAATGACCCAAGCTAAGAAAGGACGATCTCATATACAATTACACTGTTTTCACTCCATGATAAATAATGACTGGATCAAAATAATCTGTAGCAGACGTTCACAGAGTACTTTTCCCCTCACCGCTTGCTGCTTCATCTACCATGGGAGTCGCAAAGTGTTCTGATTATGTATGCTTCATTGTATGTGATTAGCACGACTGCTGGAGCCTATTATTATATCATTAATCATAATTTTTTTTATTATTAGTGTTAGGATTATTATTATTGTGCTTTTTATTGTTATAATTGTCTTCTTAGTATTGTGTTTATTGTTAGCGTTCTTATTGTTCTTTTTTCTGCTGCGGCTAGAGTAGTTTGTGGGTTGATCTAAAGCCCTTGTGCCCTGTGATTGGTGGATACAACCCCTTTGCTTAATTGTGCTTGGAAAACATTTATACATTAACCTTATTAGGTCATCAGTGTGGTCTCTGAATGGAAATTCTAGAGGACACTATATACAAAACAGGTGGCCACAGACTTGAAGCCCAACTCAAATCAAAGGGGGTTATTTCCAAAGGTTATTCACTACAGCTCAGCTGATTTCAGTCATACATTAGCTGAAATCAGCCGT